AAACAAACACAGACCTGGCCTAGAATGCACAGACTAAAAATAATGACATCCCCATGTGTTCCCATTTCGTCTCCTGAGACGTATGTGAAGATGGCAAAAGAGTTGCTTGTTTGCTGTTGTGAAGTTCACAGTGTTTTGCCTGCGACACACATACACACACACACACACACATACATATATATATATATATATATATACATACATATATATATATAATTTTTTGCTTTGCTTTGTGTTTGTGACGAATGGAGTCAAAATATATAAATAGATAAATACATACATACATACATAAATACATAAATAAATAAATAAAGGTAAAAGGAAAGGAGGGACAATACAAAACTAAGGATATTCAAGAACTTTTGACTTGATCAGCAGTGATTCACTCCAGCCTTGACAACAAGAAAATACCCTTTCGTGTGCTGTTATATTTAACTACAAATCCCTCCCACCCCTTAATTCTTTAGAATACCATTTGCTTTCACAACCTCGGAGTCTCTGCATTCCACAATTATGCACTGTGAAGGAAGTGCTTTAACTTCCGTTTAGCCATCTGAGGAGTTGGGTCAGGGGCCGTTCCCCTCGTGAGATTTTCTGTAATGGGCCAACCCAAACTCAACATTGGAAATAAAAATCCTCAACTAGTAGAAGAGAGAGAGAGAGAGAGAGAGGACAAGAACAAGAGAATTGAGGGTGTGTGTGTATGGAGTCATTTATTTAATCAGACATACAATTTAATACTATTGGCATTATAGAAGATCTAATTTGCAAAAAAAGAAAGGTTCAAAAGAAAAGTCTGTTCCTGACCAGGGGATCCCTTTGTCGTAGCTCTTTGCAAAGGACAGCATTTTATAAGGTTGTTGCTTCCATTCCCACTCAGATATGGGAATTCCTAAGAGTCACTCGTCTTGCTACGGGGTCTTAGACTTCTCACCACTGGCCTTTGAGACACCGGGCTCCCAACATTCCGGCTCTCTTTTGGAATGCTTGTACTCTGAACACGAGTGTACAGGGGTCACAGTGGGACAAGGTGAGCATTATACAAATGTACAAAAGGATGAAAAAAAAATCAGTTTCCTTTCCCGGATCTTTACATAAGGAGATCTATTTCAGTCTGCGTTTTCCTTTGCAAGGAGCCAGAGAAAGGACTCAGTGTAGTGGGATGGCTTTGATTCAGTTGTTTGGGGAAGCACATTAGCTTAAATATGTCTTCCACCCATGCAGTACTGCAGAGTTGAAAAGTGCGATGGAGTCCTACCCACATGGAGAATGGAAGCATTAACCGCAATAGGACATTACAAAGTTTTGGTTATTTAGCAGACTTTAAGCAAATTATTCATACTGCACCCTACTCATAATTATCTCTATTACTGTGTGCCTATACATTTATACATAAGCACACAAACACACTATGTATGTGTGTTTGTATATGTATAAATCAAGTATTTATAACACACATATAAATACATGAAAATACCACAGGTAGCGCTGATGGGGACGCATATGTATAATATGAATTCTGATATAATCTTTTCTAGCATAGTTCAAAGTGTTTTCTAAGTAAGCCTGATTACAATGTTGGTTCAGTGTACGAGGATGTAGCCGAAGCTATAAGCATGATTATATATCACGATATTTCAGCTGCTGGTCATCTCACGTTTTCCATTTTGCTTTTCCAACTTCATGTCCTGCTTCACGAATTGATCGGTGCACTTGCTTTCTTGGATTGTTTGTATCCTGGAGTCTCCAGTGGACAGAACCATGGACTTCAGAGTTAGAACACTCAGATTACGTCCCATTGGTGCCAGAAGTTAACCTGGAGGTTTCTAGTACGCCACTTAACTTCTCCGAGTCCCAATTCCCGCGCTCATAAAGAATGGGGATAATTGGCTACCAGATGTGAAAAGTGTCTGGAAAACTATTGAACAATTTGCAAATGGAAACGATTGTCGGACTGAGTCTGGGCTAGTGAATTAGGTTTGCCCCTACTACTGTTGGGATTTTTCACAAATTTGATAGCAGGCCATATTCTGTGATCATTACACAGGACGAGGATGTTCCTTTTCTCAAAATTAAAAGAGCATGAGAAGAGGGGATGGTGGAAGAACGGTGATGAATGAGTTAAGCTATTCGGTGGTTCATTCGATCTGGTATTCTTTCAATGAGAGATGTCTCTGAAATCAGTACATACTCTTGAGACAACAGAGAAAAAAATAAGAATAATGATCAGCAATATAAATAACTATAAAACTTTGCACTTGCATAGAACCTTTCATTTCAAGACCTTGAGGGACTTGTCAGAAGGTAAGAAATTTTTTTTTTTTTTTTTTTTTTTTTTTTTTTTTTTTTTTTTTTTTTGCTTTTTACTTTCGGAGGAAAACACAACATCGGAATGGAATAGAATGCTGCCATCTTCTCATTTGCCTTGAACAAATCCTTGCTTTAAAACTGCACAGCCCTTCTTGAATTTGATCCCTTAGCATATTCGTCTCCTTCGCTCTCTGTTAAAATAAAACAAATAACTTGCAGCTTCTCCCCCACCCCACCCCGTGCCCCTCCCTGCCCCACGCAGCTGGCCAGTCACGCAGAATGACAAGCGTGTGCAGGTTTTCAGGTCATCACTGATGGAATCTAGAGAGGTTTTGTACAAATCTGCCCCTTCTTTACTGCTTCCCAGAGTGCCACAGTGTTTTAACAGTACCATGGGTCCTTAATAGGATATATACGTGCAGGTATATATCATGGAGATATGGCTTTCGTTATATTATTATGTGTATTCTGGAGGGTATTTTTTTTTCACCGACAAAGAGAACAATCAACTCAACTCCCGTGTCTCATAGGCCAGCGCAGAACTTGAAGGGACTGTAGGGTTCATCTCGTCCAACCCCCTTCACTTGACCGGAGATGCTACTGCAATTCTTTTTGTTCTCTGTTAATCGACACTTTTGATTTTTTGAAAACTGGCTTTCGAAGCCTGTCGTGGAAAACAAGGTGCTCCAGGATTTAAGGGCGCAAGCAAAATCTAAACAGAGCAATTGCACCTTCAGAAACAAATATGAAATAAAATGTCCTACGATGAATTAGAATCACTCACTTTCAATCTGGCTTGTGTTATAAAGATGTCAAGTTAGCAAAAATTCCCCTCACAGAGGGTAGCAAGTTTTCTTGAGGAACAGAAATAGTTTTCTTCCTTGGTAAAACTGATCATCCAAACAACTGTAAATTTCTATGTAAATTTACAACCTTTTTTTGCAAACACCATGACTATACCCAAAAGCACACCTCCGAAGCTCGGTCTGGGCACAGCTTCCCAATGGCATGCTGTGCCTGAATTTTTACTTCTTTTAATGGAATGAAAAAAAAAAAAAAAAAAAAAACCCAAACAGCATACTGACAATGGAGTACTCTTGGAATGAAACCACTCTCCCAACCAGAACCCAGAGCAAGGTCTTGGCCTGTGCACACTGAACATCAATGCATGTGATGCCCCCAGGGTGAGGTTTCTTTTCCCTTAGGAACTGAGTGTTCCCTTCCCACAGTCCCACAGTTGGTTCGACGTGGCTTCGGGGTCCGTATTCGTTAAAACCCATCACCACCATACAACCCAAAGACATTTATACTTAGCTAATGAACTCCATTAGCTTCCCCTAAGTATATAAGTTATACCTTTTATGGATCTGCTCTACATATCAGGGGCACGACGTCTGGAGCGGTAGTTTCTGCACACAAGGTATTAATCGACGAAGACCATGCACAATTTTGCTTGCACAGTTGAAAGGACGGGTGGGGTGGAGGGTAGGAGTCGGAGGAAGTGCTATCTGAAAAGTTCAATATAATGCCTCCGAACTTATAGCTTGTCCTATCTTTTCCAAGTCTTTGGCTTTCCCACCTGACCCTGAAATGATCTCTGGACAAGAATGCACCCATTTTCAGCTAAACTTGACAAAGGTTCAGTGGACAACACTTGGAAAAACAAACCAGTGCTATCACCGTGACCTGCAAAGACAAGACTGTCGGAGCGTGTGATGCGCCATCTTGCGTCCCATGGAAGCCATCTTTTCTCTCAACTACACCCTAGTGTTTCTGGTGATGGGAAAAGAATAGTCCATGGCACAGAGTTCAACAGTCTTTTTACTCCTCAGAAAGCTCCTCAGGGGAAGGTGCCGAATACATTCCTCCCAGCTAACAGTGGCTGGGTTTTTCCTAAGTAGGGACTGACGCCAGCTGATCCAAATGGTTGTCTTTGTTCCTCCCATACTGTGGTTTATAATAAATCTTCTTTCTCTCTGGTTTTAATCTCCCATAGATAAAGGCTTCCCAGATTAAACACAAGTTTTCCTGTTTCATACACAGGCTTAAGCCATCCAAAAACAATAAGAACAGTAATAATAATAAATAAATAGAAGTGAATCCATAGAAACTCTCGATGTCTGTACAGCAGAAGTGACAAAGTTTAAGTCAAATATTTGTTTTCCCTTTTTTTCATCCACATCAAAGGCAGGAATACAACAAGGCATTGTTAGTTGTGGTGGGCAAACTGGAGTGTCAGCTGATATAACAAATTAGGTTTGTTAAGGCCTTTGTCTATGCAGAGTTAATAGTAATGCAGAAGCCAGATTGATTCAAAACAAAGAGTAAGGACTGTAAAGCAAAGAAGACAAAAAAAAAAAAAAAAAAAAAAAAAAAAAAAAAAAAAAAAACCCAAAAAACAAAAAAAGGGAGAGACAAAAGAAAAAGGAAAAAAGAAAAGAAAAACTAGGGAAGAAACCAAGGGAGATGGAAAGAGAGAAAGAGATAATGCCAAAAAGAAGTCCATACTGTGTCTGCGGATGGAGAAGTGCACATGGCTTCCCTCTGAAAGCCTCTCGGTGTCTTTGTTGTTAATACTGTCGGAGTGCAGAACAGCAGATTGATGGCATCCAGCGGCAGTTAAAAGACGTTCATCCTCTCGGCCCATCTGAGGAGGTGCTTTGGGAAGGATCGGTCTGGGGGAAAGGGCCCTAGCCCAGAATATCCAGGTAGACCGGAGATGCCTTGGCCAAGTTCTGAAGGAGGGTGTGGATGCCCTTGATGTTCTTCCTCATGTGGGGCTCTCGCTGCCAGCACCCCAGCATCAACTCATACACCTCCTGGGGGCATGTTCTAGGTCGCTGCAAGACTCGGCCCTGAGTGATGCATTCTATCACCTGGACGGGACAGAGACCAAAGACAGAATCAGACAAGAAGAAAAACAGTGCAGTGAAACAGATGTCAGTGCCAGGAGAGGGCTGCTTTAAAGAAACCCACTCGGCGTTCACTTGTTTTGGAGGCAAGAGAGCAATTACCACGGGCTGGTAAATCGTGGTTAATTTGATTGGTTTCTGTCCCTTTTTCATGCCACACTGACGTCACCACACTGGCAGAGAAATGCTTTATCTCTGTGGGGTGCTTCTAGACCTCACCCTGGAATTGCAACGTGTTTTAGTCTTACTGGCCTGAGATGGAACCTGGAACTTTCGTGTCAGGGCGCCGACTGATAAGGGAACTTCAAGCCTTAGAAATGAGTGGTTATTCTGGATTTCAGAGCTGGGATAAGAGACAGATGTGGGGGCTTGAAGAAGATGCAAGGTGCCTGACCAAGAAGCTATGCCTCACATACAGACATATCTACAAAATAATTAAAATAGGGAAACAAAACACTACAACGTTCTAGTGAAATGTTAAAAAAAAAAAAAAAAAAAAAAA